CTTCTCCTCCTCCTTCTCCTCCTCCTCCTCCTTCTGCTCCTCCTCCTCCCCCTACCCCTCCTCCTCCCCCTGCTCATGATTTGCGAGGCCGCAGGCCGCCCCTGCGCCGATGGCCGCCAGCGGCCCGGGCTTCTGCCGGGCGCCCGCCGCGCCGGCCTGTGCGGCAGCGTGCCCGTGGGCGCGGGGCCCCGGCGCTCCTCCGCGGCGGCGCGCGGGAGGGAGCCCAGACCCCCTCAGCGCATGAACACATCACGAAGGAAGGCCTTTCGCTATTTGCGGCCTCCTGGGGTGCTCACTGGGCCTCGGGGCCGTCAAAAGACGCCTCAGGATGAGAAGCCGGTCCCAGGGAAGTGGTCCAGACCTCTGGGGGTCGCGTCATGAAAGATCATGACGCCGGGGGTCTGGGAGCGGACTGCGGCCAGGGCACTCGGGTGAGGAGCCGTGTCCTCGCGACCGAGGATGGGAGGACCGAGGATGGAGAGCATGTCCCCGAGGATCGAGAGGACCGAGGACGGGGTCCTCCTCCTCCTCCTTCTCCTCCTCCTCCTCCTCCTCCTCCTCCTCCTCCTCCCCCTCCTACTTGGGTCACCACCGCAGGAGCCATGGATGCCACTGCTGCCCTCATGAGATGATGAATCCCCCAGGGACTGAAGGCTTCTGGGCACATTCCTCAATCAACACCCCCGCCGTGAAGAGAAAACCCCACAACACACACAGCCACACACTTTCGGAGGTACGTGCGGATTTCTGGCATCGGCGCTTGATCACCCCCAGCGGCGTCTCTGGCGCGCCCATGGCGCGCCTTGGAAGGGGGTCCAGGGAAAGGCCCTGGCACGACGAGGGGAGCGAAGCAACGATCGCGCGACTCTTGCCGCGACGCTGGAGGTCGGCCGCCTGGGCGCTGGCCCTTCCCTTAGGTCGGGCATGTCCGACGACAGGCGGATTTGGGACGATTTCCTTGTTTTCAGAATCCGAACATATTCCAAGCATGTCATTGGAAAATCGCCCCCAGACCAATGTGCGACCATTTTTGAATATTCCTCCTGTACGGGGACGTGCGCGACTTACCCCTACCGTCCCGCTCCCGAAGCCAGGAGCCTAGCCTGTGCAGATCCGCCGCCCGTGGCAACCGATGCTCCTCCACGGCACCGGCAGGCCGTGGGTGCGCGCGGACAGACCTGATCGAAGCCGGCGCCGTTCCCAGAGGCGAGAGCGAGGAAAACGAGGAGTGGGGCCCCCTCGTCACGCGGGCCATTCCGGAAAACCGGGACCCAATACCCAATGCTGCTTTGACATCTTGGGGGCACCATCTTCTACTTCCGCCGCCATCCGCCGAGCTTCCGCCGAGCTTCCGCCAGCGGAGGCGGCCTCCTTTTACTGCCGCCGAGCTTCCGCCGCCCGCCGCCCTTCCGCCGCCTTCCGCCGCGGGAGAGGTGACCACTCCTCACCCCCGAAGGCGAGGCCCTTCCTGGAGCGCCCCAGAAATCTCGCCGCAAGCGGGGCGCTCACCCGGAGCGCCGACCGCAGCGTGCGTCGGCCCGAACGGCATCGGCCGAAGGCTCGGGCCCGCGCCCGCACTTCGCGGCCGAGGTTCGGGCAGACTGCACGAGGATCCGACGCGGCCTCGACGCGGACAGCGGCCCCAAGGGATGGACAAAGGCCCCCCGAAGTTGCAACGTAAGGGGCGACACGAGGAGCATCGGCTGCGTGCACTGGGAGGTGGTGCGAGGCGGGGGGCACTCTGAGAGAAGGGCCCGGAGGCTTCCGGGAAGCTCCTGACAAGCCTCCGCAGACCCCCGACGGCGAGACTTTTTCCAAACGTGGGGCCCCGGAGGCCTGAGCTCCTTCGCCCAGGACTTGCTTCTCCCCGGGAGTGTCCCGGGGAGCAAGGCGAGCCCAGGACCGGGATCGGGCAAACACTGCGTCTTCGAAGACTGCGCTGCTCGAGTCAGCCCCCCGCGGAGCAGCCGCGCGGCCGTTCGAGCGAACGGTCGCGCGCGGCGCCCCCCATCCCGGAGCGCCAACCCCCGCGGCGCCAACCCACATCCTGGGACCGACAGTCCCGACATTCCTATAGTCCTACCACGAAATGTTCTTCGAACCCAAAAATGCTCTAATCACGAAAACAAGGTTCTTAGAACATAAACCCAATGTGATAAAACAAAACAGACTCCGCCAGAAATGTTCTAAGAACGTTTCGCGTAAACCACAAAAGGTTATTATAACATTGTTTGGTAAGGGCATCGGCAAGCCAGGACGCTTCGCCACTGCTTGACATCCGCCACACGGCGTGTGGGGGATGTGCGCCACCCCCATATTAGGGGTGGAGGGGTGCACGGAAGGCGGGGTCGAGGCACAGCTGCCTCACCGTCCTCTCGGGGGGATCGCAAGAGGGGATAGCAAAAGGTAGTGTAGAGAATCAGCGCACCCAGCTGATTTTCCCAGCGCCTCCCGGCGCCGGGAGGCGCCCATGTATCGTGGGAGGGGCCAGGCGGCGGGACCGAAACCAGCTGCATGCAGCAGATACCAGTCCTCGCAGCCGCACCCCGTCAGGGCACCGACAGAACTTGACTGTCGCGCCGCGCGTTTCGCGCGGTAGATTTGTGGCCCCCGCAAAGCTTCCTACATAGTTCTCTGACCCCAGCCGTTCTGCCTGAAGAAAACAGCATCAGACGCGCAGAAGATTAGAGTTACCATCCGGTCCGCCCCGCCATTTTCTGGGAGGACCACTACACGAGGGAGGGGGTCGACCCCATCGAGGGCCGGGGGCGAGACTGGGCTGCGCTGCATGGGGGGCAGCACTGGCAGACGACGACGACGACGACGACGACGACGACGACGACGACGACGGACGACGGACGACGGACGACGGACGACGGACGACGGACGACGGACGAGGACGAGGACGAGGACGAGGACGAGGACGAACGACGAACGACGACGACGACGACGACGACGACCACGACGACGACGAAGACGACGACGACGACGACGACGATGACGACGACGACGGCCTCGGGCCGTTCTGTCCGCCGCCGGTGCTCTCCTTCGGCGCCGGGGTGCTCCACGGTCCCCGCCTGTGGCCGCGCGCGGGGAGCCAGACCCCCTCGGGTCATGAGACAACCGCGACGGGGGATGCCCACCCCGTCGCCATTCTCTCCTGATCTCGGGGGGTAGAAACTACTTTAGGGATAAAAAGCGTTGTAACTGTACGTTGGACTAAAATCGGGAGCGCGCAAACATGGATTAGCGATCCATGGATTTGGCGCGCGATCGCCAAATCCATGGAACCGGGGAGTCGCCCTCCCCAAAATGCGGCCGGTGCCGCCTCGCTCGGCGGCGGAAGGGAAACGGGACCCGTCGCTAGTCCACGCCCCCTTGATCCATGTTTGCGATCGCCTGATAAAATCATCCGCAGGCTACCAGCAGCACCCTACGCTGATAGCTGCACCCTGCTATATTGTGACAACGACGTTACACCGGGGCTTCCCTACTACGAGTCAGAAGGTACCGCCCTTACCACGTACGACATATCACTGGCACCACACATGCACGACTCGCTCAGCCGGGGCGGGCGACCAGGGGGGGGGGGGAGCCACCTTGGGGGGGGGGGGCCCCCCCTCCGTCGCGATTCTCTCCTGACCTCGGGGGTACCCTCCCATCGCGACGGGGGAGGGGGGGGGGGGGGGGGGGCAAAAACGGCGCCCCCTCCTCCAGCCCCAACCCCCCGGGGGTGGGGTTGGGGTGCGCCGTTCTTGGCCTCCGGGGGACGCTCGCCGGGCCCGTGGGCCCGCGCCCGTGAGGAGCTGTCGTGGCGCCGAGGGCCTGGGCCCTGCGCAGGGAGCGACCTCCGGTGCGCGGCTCCAGGGGGCCGCCAGCGCTTTGGGTGACCCAAAAGGGGGTCCAGCTGAAAGGGGGTGGTGCACTAGATTTGGGGGCATATATATATATATACAATCTATATAGATATCTACATACATACTATATATATGTATTGCAAATGTATTGCGCCGGAGAGTTGTATCGCGTTGTATTGCAGTTGATGTGTTGTACGCGAAAACCCAGAAATACATGTACGCCCCTGGATTATCGCACGCCCCACCGGTATTGCAACCCCACAAAACTACCCATTCGCACCGAATCTGTTGCACCACCCCCTTGGCGCTGGACCCCCTTTTGGATCGACCCGAATCGCGTACAGCCGGCCCGTATCATGTACGTGTGCGTCCGTCTTTCGCTCCCGTCTGCCTCCCCGCGTCCGCTTCTCGACGGCCCCGAGGCCCGTGCCTATAGGCAGGCTCACGTCCTGACAAAGATCAGGACGTTCGGTGGCAAAGGATGGCAAAAACAAAAAAAAAAAAAAACAAAAAAAAAAAAAACAACAAAAAAAAACACAAACATAAACAAAAAAAACCTTGGTTTGTTTTGCAATCCTTGGTTTTGTTTTTAGTTTTGTTGTGTGTTTTTTTGCAATCCTTCGTTCGGGAGCCTCCAATCTCATCTTGTCGGCTTTTGCGAGTCGACGCTAGTCGACGCCAGTCGACGCCAGTCGACTCCAGCCGACGTTAAATCGACGCTAGATCGGAGCTATCTCATCGACTCTCGGGCGCTAATCGACGCTGGTCGACAGAAATAAGTACGAGGGTACACGAGGCTCCCATGATTGCTACCGCAAAGACCGGCGGTGTTTGGCCGTATGGGGCGTCTCTGTACCCTTACGTCGGGCGCGACCTGACCGACCCCAAGCAAACCATCTCCTTCCATGCCTCCTCCTCCTCCTCCTCCTCCTCCCTCCTCCGCTTCCTCCTCCTACTCCTCCGGCTTCGCCTTCTCTTCCTCCCCTTCCTCCTCCTTCTCCTCATTCTCCTCCTCCTCCTGCTCCTGCTCCTGCTCCTGCTCCTGCTCCTGCTCCTGCTGCTCCTCCTCCCCTCCTCATCCTCTTCCTCCCCCTCATCCTCCTCTTCATCCTCCTCCTCCTCATCCCTCCTCCTCCTCCTCCACCTCCTCCTCCTCCTCCTGTCCATCCTTCTCCTCCTCCTCCCCCTTCTCCTCCTTCTCCTCCTCCTCGTCCTCCTCCCTTTCCTCCTCCTCCTCCTCCTCCTCCTCCTCCTTCTGCTCTTCTGCTCGACTCCCCCTCCTCCTCCTCCTCCTCCTCCTCCTCCTCCTCCTCCTCCTCGTCCGGGGGACGTCACGGAAACGGATGGTTTGCTAGGGATCGGATAGGCCGCCCCTGATTACTGGGCTCCAGGGCACCAGAAAACGATCCAGGACGAAAAACCAGCTCTGGGGCAAGGGTCGGAGCTTCCGGGTACTCCGATCAAAAAACATCACGACATCGCATGTATGGGTAATCCGCCCCCGAGAATGGCGAAAGACCAGCTGCCTCGGATATCGCCGAGGCGCTGTATGCCTACCAGGAGAGGCTAGGTCCAGCTGGCAGCACACTAGAACACTAGAAGGAGTCCTTTCTCTCCAACTGGACCAGCTTCAGCTGGACTCAGCGCCGCCCGTGAGCAGGCCAAGTCCAGCTGGAGTCCCCCCAGGTGGAGCTTCTGAACTTGCCCCAACTAGAATAAACGCTGCCTCAGGCAAGCTTAGAGCCCCAATGCGGCCGTGGCGACGAGGGAAGCCTTCCAGCCATGCGATGTCTTGTCTTTTCCCATGCGCGGTCTCTGGACACGGGTTTTCATCTGACGGTGGCTTTTGACAGCCCATGGGGCCCGCCAAGGGTACCCGGGCGCCGCACATAGAAAACAATCACCGTCCTGCTTTACCTCGGAACGCCGCATACCCGGGGCACGTAGCGGCATCGGTCTCCTTTCTGCCTCTGACCTTCGAGGCCCCTGGCGCGCGAGGTCTCGGACGATGCCTAGTGGGAGGCATTACGCGGAGGGTAAAGGAAGGTGCATATTTCGTGCATCTCGGGCCCCACAGGGGGCCCTTCAAGGCCCTTTTCCCTGTAGACACCCTTCCCTTCAACACTTGATTCCCCCCCCTCTTCACTGCAGGATCAATCAGCGTCGAATCGTGAAATCGGATCGAATAAAAACGTGCGTCGGGTCGGGCTGCTTCGGCACGGTGTCGAAATCGAATCGGCTTGCCTGCGCCAAGATGTACCAAAACGTCATGCGAACATCGGGCCGCATCGGGCCGCCGGAACATCGGAATCAAACGGGGTCGACCGGACGAAATCGAGATCGCACCGGATCGATCAGATCGAAATAGACCCTGCCATCCCAGACATTCGACGTCTTCATTCCCAACCACCCTGTGGTGTTGGGTCCTCGTTGTGAAGAGACAGCGCCCCGCGTCTCCCACCTCTCCTCCTACTCCCGCTCCTCCCTTCATCACTATGCGTCTCCCCCACCCCGTACAACGCTTCGTGGCACCATAGGGAACTCCACCGAAGGCCTCAGTGGCAGAGCTGGCGTGCAATTCCACACCCAACACGCGTTTGGTGGCCCCATAACGAGCTCAGCTCCACCGAAGGACTCATCGGCGGCGTTCGCATGCGTTCTTCTGACACAATGCAACGCTTCGTGGCCCAACAGGGAGCTCCACCGAAGGCCCGATTGGCGGTGCTCGCATGCATTTCCCCCACCCAGTACAGCGGTTCGTGGCCCCTAGGGAGCTCCACCGAAGGCCCCATTGGCGGTGTTCGCATACGCTTCCACAACCCAGCTTCGTGGCCCCATAGAGAGCTCCACCGAAGGCCCCAGTGGCTGAGCTCGCTTGCGGTTCCCACACCCAATACAGCGCTTCGTGGCCCCATACGACGCTCCACAAAAAAGGCCCCAGTGGGTGAGCTCGCGTGTGTGTTTTCCGTGGCGCCGTAAGAAGCTCCACCGAAGGCCCCAGCGGGTGAGCTCGCATGCGTCTCCCCAACCCAGTACAACGATTCGTGGCCCCATACGGGAGTCCACGGAAGGCCCCACTGGCAGTCTTCGCATGCTCTTTCCCCACCCAATACAGCGTTTCGTTGCCCCATACAAAGATCCGCCGAAGGCCCCAGTGGTGGCCCCGCCTCATTGCGGCGCACCCTGGCACGCTTCGCGACCCCGCAATTAGTTTCGCCTAAAACACCACTGGGAGCGCCCACATGGTGGCCCCGCCCCACATCGGCACCGCCTTCGCATGCATCATGGCCCCATGAGGACATCCCCCGAGTGCGATACTGGCAACGACGTTACTCGCAACAGCATGTTGTTGGGTCCTTCGCCAAGATATGTTGTTCAACGCGGGGACCCCGGAAGTCCCGACCCTTTCCCCAAGGCCAACTTTTCATCCTGAATCGTTCGTTGACGGTCTCGGGCGTGGAGCCACGGGCGAACAAGAGATACCGGATGTGACTCACCATGGGTTCTGACACAACCACTACGCCTGAGAACACAGCGCTGCGGTATACAACGTGGGCATTCACAGATCTTTAGATCAACAATCCCTAAACTTCCATGTTCGCGAGGACCCGACCCCTGTCCAGGATACCCCAGGAACTCGTCCGTCGAAACACGATTCAAAAAGCATGCTGCTTAAGGCAGATAGAGAAAGAGAGAGAGAGAGAGAGAGGGAGGATGAGAGAGACTGACAAAAGACAGCGGTGGCCTCAGCAGGCCTGGGGACGCGCGCAGCTGCCCACCATCACGCCATTCACGAGACAGGATGGGGCGCAACAGAAAACGGAAACTCACACTCACTACATATTCAAAACTATTCAGCGACGCCAAACTCGGGATGGCTTCCGCTCCTCCTCGCCTCATCACGCGGATAGCAGCCGGCATGGACTGGAGAAGCTTTGCCCCAGAGCCGTCCCCGACGGTAATCGAGAAGCCCTTGACCCTGAGTCCCCTCAGACGGTTGCACAGCGCGGGGTTACTAGTTAACCATCTTCAAACGTGCTTAACGAAGAAACTCTCCCAATGGAACCTCCACCTCAATAGAAGGGCAAGCTTGGCCGCGCCGTCCAGGCCCTGGACAAACTCGAAGCCCGGGTCCCGCTAGGACTTGACACGCTCCGACTTGGTCGCCTGCACGAGCGCCTCCCCAGGATCGGACGGGATGACGCAGCCGGGAGGCGTGG